GACAGAAATCAAAATAAACCCAAAAAAAGTGCATTCTGGGAACTTCAGGTTTAGGATTAAAGACTGTCCATGGACTGACCTTCAGTGTTGAGTTTTGAAGTTCAAAAGTGGACAGGTGGAAACACTGCCTTCTTCATTGCCCTTTGGTGCAAGATATATTCTATGTTGCAAAGTAAGTGCCAACAGCAGCAAAATTATCGTCCCCTCCTGCTACTATAGTAAGTCAGCAATGGCCCTTCTGTGGTCAAAATGGCAAATTCAGCAGCAGCTATTCGACAGGGATTTGCAAAAACTTCCCCGTGGCTGTTAGGAATCTTATTCAGCAGTGTCTTTGAAAACCCAATTCTGTGCAGAATTAGCTATGTAGAAATGACCTCAGTTGTGTGTGTGTGTGTGTGTGTGTGTGTGGTTTTTTTTTTTTAAGATTTTTAAACAAATGTAATTTTTAATTTTTCTCAATATAAATTTTGCACTTAGTGCTGAAAAGTCTGTGTACCTATCCATATATCCAGTATTCTTAAATTTAACAAGGTTCAGAATTCTCTTTTCATATTAATGTAAAGCCTCCCCAAATTCCTGGCTTTGGAGAATCAGTTTGCCACACAAAGCCACTATACATCACTCAGGTTTGTGATGAGAGAATGGAATTGCAGCTGTGTGAGTATTAGAATACCCAAACATGAATTAGACTCACAAGCATTTGGCAATAGTTCAGAAAATGAGCTTAATCTGGTTTCATCTGAGACTGCTTTTCTCTGTTCTACAACATCCCCCCAAGATGTTGTGTCTGATATCAGATCACAACGTAATGGGAGTGACGCAGAATCAGAGAAAGCCCTAAGAATCCAGGGGTGCATTTGCCTTCCCCAGAGATTTTTTTTTCCCTTCTATTTTTTTTTCTCTCTCTCCCCCAGATTCCAACTCTGAAATCCAAGGTCATTCACCTATTAGATGAATTAATTATAAGCCAGGAAAGCAGCATTCGGTGTACTCTGATCTCACTCATATCTATAATTAAGGGTAAATGTAATCTTCCTTTTAAGAAATGTACCACCCACCCAATGCATTTAAAGTGCTGACTGAAAAGAAATAATAGTTTAGAGCAAGATGATTTTAGTTTAACAAGAAAAAAAAAGTTGATAATTTAAGCTCGAAACAAGTCAGTTCTATTTTTGATTACCATTCAGTTATAAATCTAATTTGAGATATAGGCTGCTTTTCTGTTACTCAATTTTAATTCATGGTTTGCATTCTTGGTTGCATAAGCCAAGTTCCGTGGTTGATCAAGGATGTTCAAAAGCTTTCCCCCAAAAGAAGTGGGGGCAGGGTGGAGAATCTGTTAGAAAGACAGTCTGAGACCCAGATCTGGTGTCAAACAAACAGAAATGTTAATTGAAAGGGACCCTTACAGAAAATGCTGCACTTGGCATTGGAGTGCTATGTTGGGACTGGCTCTCTGCTGAAGAATTGGCTACAGGGGGATAGACCCCCAAATATTTAAACCTGATCGGCCATATCAGCCTATTTAACACTTTGATTGGAGTATGCTGAGTCTTGAAATTGTTTATCTTTCAATAAAGCAAAGAATGAGTAAGGGGAAGAGCTCATCTCATCACAGGGCAGACAGTTAGGCGAACGTCGAACTCTGGGTTTAAGATTTACAGGTTAGCTTTCTGAGATGCCACAACTTGCTGCCAGTGTTTCCTGGCAGACGTGGGCAGCCTTCTACTGGGACCCAGCGTAACCGCAGAGCGTGAGCGTGCACAATGTCAAAACCTGAAGCCCTGCTCGCCCTGTGTAAGGCAAAGAGAAACTGACCCATTTTAAAAGTAGACTTTGCCTTTCAACCTTAACTTCTACTCACCATTAATTTGCCTTTCAGCCTTAACTTCTATTCACCATAAATTTGTCTTTACACGATATGTGGGTAAATTCGTATATAAATGAATTCTTTGCCCATTACATGCAATACTTCATTTACCTTATTCAATCAAATTCATGTGTCTCTTTAAATTTGTAAACTCAGGTTTTTCAGCTGGTGGAAAGTTCTTTTTTTTTTATCTTTCTTATTGCAACAGTTAAGTGTGTGACGTAAAGGCCAAACAATAGTCAATAGTCATTGTTCATTTCACAAGTATACTCCACAATGAGAACACATATATTTTTATCTTAATTTCCCCTGGGGGCTGAGTGGGGCCCCCTTAAGTGTGAGGAAATGCTTATTTTTGTTACATTAGAAGAATGATTCTGTTGTCAAGTGAAAAAGAAAAAGGAACAAACAAGTCTAAAAAGATAGACACAGAAATGTGCTTTGTGAAAAAGAGATTAGCGTGAGCCACTAAATGTTTGTCGGCGCTGTCTGGTTTTAGACTAAGTCACTCTACGTAGTTCCTGTGGCTGGCTGTACATTCTAGAGTCGGATACATGATCTATTTACAACTTGCCCATGAAATAATTTTCTTTTACATTAACAACAATAAGATGAGCCACAGGCTCTTAGCTTCCGTCTAGCCTTCATTTTGTATTTTTCACAGCACTATTGCAAATGCTGCTAAAATACAGTATTGCAAGTTTTTTTTTCTTCTTTCTTTTTATGTTGACCTATTGAATGCATCTACTTTCTTGGGAGTGAAAACCTTTGCCACAGGTACCAACAACATAAAGCTATAGTTAAGCTCATTAAAAAGACAAGCAAGCATTTAAAAAAAATCTGCTCAGCACTTTTCTGAATATTTTGTATAATTTTAGAAAAATAAACATGAAGAAATGGGGTAATCCATGGTTACCAGAAGGGAAAGGGTGTGGGGAGGACTGAGAAGTTAAAGGGAATGAAATAAATGATGAAGGAAGGAGACTAGACTTCAGGTGTTGAGCACACCATGTATATGCAGGTGTCTTATTATAGTTATTCACCTGAAGCTTAAGTGTATATTAAGTATATTGTTATTAACCAATGTCACCCAATAAATTTAATTTAAAAGTACAAAAATATTGTCAATAATATAATTTTAAACTTCTATTTTCAATAAAATAAAGACTCCTTTGTAGATTTACCAAACTATAAGGAGGTTGTGATTTAAATCATCTGCAGATTTATTGATGAAAATTCCAAAGAAAATTTGGATTTGGACTTATATATAGACTCTGTTAATACGATTTACTAAGATCAATATTTTGTTAATTGAGATTCTAAAAATGTTTAATGCCATCCCTAAAATGACAATCATTTGATATGATATACTGTTGGACTCCTGATTTTGTAGAAAAGTTGATTATAAAGAGCTCTGAATTTTAGTTTGTCCTTGCATAGCATTTTGGCATCTTAAATTCAGAAGAGACAGCAGTAATTGAGCATGTGGATGCCAGATTTTTATCTTGTATATAATCTGGTTTTTATTGGCTATTTATTTGGTAGATATTAAGATACTTACAGTGATCTGATTACTCAAAATGCGCTTCCAACCTAAAATCTCACCCTTGAAGTTTTATTTCAAAGTAAGGTTTATTATGTATCCCTTCAAAAAGTCTGAAACTGGAATCAGGCAAAAGCTAGCTTGTCAGTGGCTGATTAGTCCTTTATCTATTACTCATCCAGCACTCACAAATCCCTGGGAATGGAAGGGTCTCTTTATAATATTTAGCTATATGGCAGTGGAAAGAGGAGGTTTGAATTTTTGATTTTCCAGCTTATGGGTCATATTTGACCAACTGCTTTCACTAGCAGACATGCCACTTTGTTGAGCTATTTAGGAATCAAAAAGACTGCCTTAATTTAAAACAAGGACTCTTTGTTTTAGTTGGTGACTGCCTTGTGAAATTTTTCAGTTCTCAGCGGGTTAACCAGGGAACAGGGGCAGAGTCATAATTGGCCTATTTAGAGTATTTTGCATGTGAATAGTGTGTTAGTGAAGCATCCCTAAGTCTGTTGTGAGTGACATGGTGATTAGAATTTAGATTAGGGAAAACACATTCTGTACTTTATCAAGGACAGTAATTAGTTCAGTCAGTAAAAGTTGATTACAAGTAACGATAAAGTTAGATTTTTAGTACTTAATTTTAAAATTTCTTTATTAAATAGTAAACTTGATCTTAATATAAATGGTAGCATCTACACTTGTTTTCCTTCACATCAGAATAATTAAAAGAACAATGTGTTCAATGCAGAGCATAATCAGACGATTTATATGTTATGGGTAAGTTTCTGTGTAGTTTTTAGAAAATGTGATATTATATAATCTTTCCTATGTCATCATTTTCGAAGCTTTAGTAATTTGTCACGGCGTGATACGTTAATGATATTTGTGAAAGTTTTCTCGTGTTCAGGTAAATGTTTAATCTGTGGGGATGTGTTTCAGCCTCTGATAGTCCTCAAGAGGGCACCTAAAGTTCCTTAATTTGTTCCTGTGAGCCTCCTGTTTCTATGATTTTGGGAGTTAATGTGAGGATTTGAATTTCCTCCCGGATCGTTGGCATTTTCTTTCCTGTGGGTGCTGCGTACCTCTGTGGGGGATCTTGCTGTGCTGATGCAGAGGCAGGGGTCTCAGTGGACTTAAGCATCTATCTCCACTCACCCCCACATAAGCAGCCAGGGAGTTGTGTGCGTTCGGAAAAATCAGATGCTTCTTGGTTCTTGTTAAGGAAGGGCATGAATAGTTCCCAGATGTGAGCTTAAGTAGAGATAAAGAAAACATTAGTTTTACATAAGTGCCCTTTTCTTTTACATCAAAATGTTAGTCTTCTTAAAAGATTAAAATATTGCTTCGGAGGGAACCACCTTCTACCTTCCTTTCCAAAGTAGGAATTAAAAATTCACCAACTCTGTGCTAGCTTATTAGGCTGCTTTCTTTCCCTTTTTTGTTTTGTGTGTGGTTTTAATTGTTTCAGCTTAGCAGATGCTGTTTTCTTTATGGCATTGGTTTTAAGTACTAACAATCAGTTGCGGGGGTGGTGAATGTGAAAAATTAACCTTATATGTTTGTTTTCCCTTTTTAACCTTTCAGCAGAGTCTCCTTGGAGGTGACATGGATATGGGCAATCCAGGAACCCTTTCGCCCACCAAACCTGGTTCCCAGTATTATCAGTATTCTAGCAATAACCCCCGAAGGAGGCCTCTTCACAGTAGTGCCATGGGTAAGGTATTCCTCTGTCTGAATGCCTGAGTGATTATTAGGAGTCTCTCTTTCCTTTCTTTTTTAATATCGCCCTCTCATCCTACCACCTCTCCCCCAAAATTTTTTTTTTAAAAATCATGAAATTTGCTCAATAGTCAGGCCCATGATAGTAGTGCATTGGGTGGGTACGTTAACAGTCTGTAGTAGAGGAAGAGCTATTACAGTGAGCACTTAGGTTCTCTTCGCTGCCCATATGAGAAACATTTTAAAGAATCAGAGTATTAAAAAGTTAAATATGTGCACTTTTATGAAAAAAAAGGCAAAATTTGAATTCTGACAGGATAAAAAGTGATCCTGGTAGCAACATTGTGCTAAGGAAACGATGTAAGAAAATCTGGTCTAATCTCAAAGGCTTGGTAGTTTGATCTGCTTTTAGTTAGGAAAATGGGCCTGCGGGGAGCTCACAGCCTCTTCGTTTTCTTGCAGAGGTACAGACAAAGAAAGTTCGAAAAGTTCCTCCAGGTTTGCCATCTTCAGTAAGTACTGCTTGTTTCCGCTTTGAATATTATTAATTTCATTCTGTTTTGTGAGGCCTGAGGGCAGGAGGAGGAAGTGAGGTTCCATGCACCAGAGCTGCAGGGTTATCTAGAATGTGGATGAGGAGGGAACTCCCTGCACATGCAGCCACCTGACCCGCGCTGGCGTGATGAATGGCATGTTCTGGAAGGCTGGGTGGTTGTGAGGGTGTTCAGCAGATGAAGCTCTGAAGGGGGCCTTGAAAAGGTGCCTGGAGGTCCAGGAGTCTTACCTGTGCAGAGCTTTCCAGAGAATGAGTATTAGTTTCATGTGTTGGTTAAATTCTTTGTCACTATTATGATGATTTATGGATTTGCATGCGAAAGGAGATTTGTGGAGAGGATTTAGGGAAAATTTACATGGTTTTCAGGCCAGAGTGCAGAGAAAATGTCTCTATTTTCTAAAGAGGTTACTGAATAAGTCTGCAAAGGTAGCTGCTTCTGTAGCCATTTGTGTCTGAAACACCAGGTGACAGCAAGAACAATCCAGCTGTAACCAAAAGCATTCTGGGTCTTTCTCATAGCGAGCTAAATGCAGGAGTGGCTGAGGTGCCTCCAGTCTCCAGCACAGCAAACAGTGGCTGTGATCACAGTGAAATGTATTTTCATTTCTTACATATATTTTCAGATTTGAGATCCTGGTTTTGTGGGTGTGTGGTTTTTTTTTTGTTTGTTTGTTTTGTTTTGTTTTTTAATTTAAAACTGATCTATTTCTAATAATTTCTTCTTCATATAGAATTAAAATATGAGTTCTTCTCTTCTTTGTTTTCTCCTTCTTTCTACCCCTCCCCCCCAATTCTTCTTTTCTTTCTATGAGATAGATATTATAATTCAAATGTCTGTTCTGTAGGACACTGGTATTCTTTGAAAAGAATGATAATGGGCCTATTATAAGTTCTTACACTCTAAAATAAATTATATTTCTGAAAATATATTACTAAGCAATTCTTGCATTTTTATTTTATTTTATTTTATTTTTAAAATATATTTTATTGATTTTTTACAGAGAGGAAGGGAGAGGGATAGAGAGCCAGAAACGTCGATGAGAGAGAAACATCGACCAGCTGCCTCCTGCACACCCCCCACCGGGGATGTGCCCACAACCAAGGTACATGCCCCCGACCTGAATTGAACCTGGGACCCTTCAGTCCTCAGACCAATGCTCTACCACTGAGCCAAACCGGTTTCGGCTTATTTTATTTTTAATAAATTAGAAGAATAATAGTTTTTGCAGATGCACTGTTAAATTAACCCAAACACTTGTGTATTTGACTTGATTTTAGTTTCAGTTCATCTAAAAATTTATTAAGTGACTATATCGGAATAACTCCTATGGGGGGGGGAGCAGACTTTGTATGCTGAATATCATAAACTTGGCCATGTTGAAGAAGCATCACAAAAGTATCCATAAATACAGAAAAATATTATATAAATAAAACTGCCAATGCATATAGAATAGTCACTTTGGACTACCAGTAAGTCACTTAATATGTACTGAGTGTTTATTCTTTGATTTTCCTATGTTGTATTGAAATTGACTAATATCCCCTTAGGTTTTTATAAGCATAGTTTAAGCTTGAAATTTGTGGTGGATTTAATGTAGATGAAACTTTAGCTCTTAATAGCTTTTATGAAAACTTGAAATGATATAGTCCTCACAGCTGTTTACATTCTAAACATGCCTGAACCTAATACGGACAGCATTAAGTACAATAAGTGAACCTTTGAATGTTCTGAAATGATAGAATAGCTCTGTGGTATAAAAACCAAGCAAAACTTGAAGCTATAATGCCCTATTTATGCCTCATATTCAAATACATTTAGGTTGTTTCTGTTTTTTTTTTCCAGCGCTTAAAATAATGCAGAAATCTGCAGTTTCTAAGGAGTGCTTTGGTGTGGCATTAGAAATTATCTATCTGCTTATTCATTGTTAACAACAATTTATCATAATTCATTGTATATTTTTAAGTATTTCCCTGGAGGGAACTGGCCACTATAGAAAATTGTCTTAATAGCAAAATTTTCTTTGCTATTAAGACAATTTATGTGTTGTTGATATGTTAACAAATATTAAAGTACATTTTCCTTCTGAATAAATCTGGAATTGGAAATTTAGTTTGCATTATTTAATTTTGGGGTTTTGATGATCAGTTTAGGAATTACTATTCATAGAAAGTATATCTTGGCTACATATTTTAATGGTCCTTATAGAACATCTTGGTAAATAGGGTACCTTTTTTGAAAGACAAGGAGGGAAGTTCTGTGGAAATGGAAATGTTACCCTTTTTTTGTGTGCTTGACTTTTTGTTTTATTCAAGAAGAAGAGGATAGCTCGGTTGATTTTTGGAATCCAGTAATCTATTTATTGTCATTACTTTAAAAATAATCTAGCTCTGTTTAAATAGCAGTGTAACTTGGCTTATATTAGCTTTGTTGTATGTATTGATTACGTGCATTACCATCACACAAAATGTATATTTTATTTTTACCCAAAGAGATGGTCTGTAGTAGACACTGTAACACTTTTGCCCCAGTAGATCTGTATTTTTAGATCTTCGCTATGTTTAATTCTCTTTTTAAGCTCAGATACACTTATGAATATTTACTTGATGAGAGACACCTCTAAAACTTGCTACAATATATACGAATATTTTTATAACAAATAACAAAAATTGCGGTTAATGAAAGGTTTCCTTTGGAGTGATTATGACTAGATAAAGACATTTATGTTTTCTTTCATACATATTTACCGTGATAAATAGTAATAAATCTGTCACAATCTATTGTGTCAACTCCACTTGTTTTTGTTTGTTTGTTGTTGTTGTTTTCAAAATGGGACCTTTCTCTTCCTTAACATAAAACAAATAAAATTGAAACTGTGACATCTGTAATCAGATGTTATTGATGACATGACTGCGGGGCAGAGGCTGGACTTCTCTGGCGGCCATTAGGCGGGGTCTTGTAGGAAATGAGGAGAGTGAGGGGCTTGCCTGGCCCTGTTTTTGAGAATCCTACAGCATCCGTGGGAGAGAGAAAACGTTCGCTTGGCCCAAAAGCGTGCCATGGAACTGGCAGGCCCTTGCGCGTGTGCCTGTGCTCTCTACTGCTTAGAGCCCTCAGGTCACTGAGGAAGCCGGGCAGGGGAGGGGGCGGAAGACCATCCTGTAGGGCTGTGCACAGGCGCAGTGGGGAGAGGAAGTCCTTCCCTCTGGAGAACAAGCCTGCAGTGGGACAAGAGGGATGTTGTGTTTAAAGGAAAGGCTGTGTGAAATGACAACTCCAATTGCCCAGAGCCTTTCGTAGCATGCAGAACATTGTAATGTTCTCTGTTCAGGTTCCACCATGTGCTCCTTTCAGTCCTATCCCAGGCCTTTGTAAGCCCTTACCTGGTGATGGGACTTCAGTCAGAAAGCTCCTTTTGTTGATGCCGGTTTGTTTCTCTTAGCTAATTTCCAGACTCTACTTGGGAACTACTTATGTGTTTGACTTCAATATCTTGGTTTTCTTTTTAAAACCAGTTACCATCTCAGTGTTTTTCAAAGTTACTGCTCTTTTCAGCAGTTGTCTTACCCTTCATATAACCTAATAACATACACACTAAATCATGAATTTATGCAGAAAAATCCACCATTTTAAATCACAGTTTTGGAAAAATGATCCACGATTTTTAAATATTAGCACAGGAGCATTAACATCTAGAAAGCAAAAACTTTTCATATTGTGTAGTTTTAAAATATTTTTTCCAAACACAAAGACATGCATCTCCTTTCAGAAACATTCTTGTGCCCATAAGTATGTAAATACATAAGACTTTAATCTTAAATTTGGAATGTTTCAAACAATATACATTTTACCAGAAACTATTAATAACTACAATCATTTAGACATTTGTGGAATCTATCTCCACTTCCAATCCAGTTTTGAATCCATTGTCACCCTCTGCTGAAATCCCTAGAACCTCAGAGTTCTCTGGAAATAAGTTTTATCCTTAGAAATAGTTCATGGTCTTGTATATCACTAAGTGATCCTTTATTCACACTTTACTTTTTAGTAAAATCTATTTTTTGTGCTGAATTGCAGTTTCGGTGTTACTGTTTGTGTGTTTGTTTTTATTTGAAATTTAGGAGGATCTGCCATTGTATTAAGTGGTCAGAGATCATTTTAGACAAGCGGATTTTAAGGAAGACAATCTCTAATGTCATAAATATCCTAAAATTAAATTTAGAACCTCAAAGAAAATTTGAGACCCGAGTTAATCATCATATGGATTTGAAAAATAAAAATTCAATGTTTAGCAATTTTCATAAGAAAAAAATTCTGAATAAAATAAAATCTTCAAGTTCTAATGATACTTCCTTTTTATAGAAGAGATTACTAGAAAATCACGAAAAAGTAGATAATGCTGATGACAATTATTATTTTGTGATTTCCATTATATTAAAAACCCTCCATATTTGAAGGTTTCAAACATGATGTTGAGTTCATACCGGAAATTATTTGGAGGAAAAAACTTTTCTCAATGCATGAAGAAATCTTAATTTAAAAGAGAAATTGGTAAATTATTTCTTCCATATTAGAGGCCCAGAAATCTTAGATGATAAAAAAATTCAGTACTTAAAATGCATAATTTCCCCCATCACGTTTAAGACTGATCCTAAGGAAGTCACAATGATGCTTGATCTTGTCAACCAAATTGTAACTTCAGTGACAAGACAACTTTTGTTAAAATAGAATTTGTATTAAGCTTAAAATGATGTGTCAGCCACCTGGGCTCTATCCTGAATAGGAATGTCTGGAAGTAGCCAGCCAATTGTGTGATGAGAAGAGTCTCTTCAAGGGCCATTCCTGGAGGGGTAGGTACTTTGTCAAAACATATAGGAATTTACATTGAAATGTTAGGGTAAGTCACAGTATTCCAACTTTAAACACAGTATGACCATTTGTCAATTAAAGATAATTAA